AAAATCCACCATTCAATTTTTTGGAATAACAAAACCAAGAAAATGTATGTACCCGTTTGATTGAAAACTTTCTATTATTTTTGCCAAGTGGAAAATAGAAAGAATTATTTGGGATAAACACATTCTTTACTAAATAAAGCACTTTTTGACAAAATACCATTTTGTTACATTGTAACTGGGTTAGTTGTAATTGAAAATTTGCAACACCAAACTTTTTGAAAGATTTAACATCAAAATTAATTGAGCTTTCAACATATATTTAAACATTAGTTGGTATCATTACTGAAATTATCTTTTGCAGACAAATCTATTTCAGATGATATAGATGTTTTAGTAGTACCTTTAGAGGATAAGAAATTCAAACATACTTGTTTTTTTTTCTTTGTTGGAATTTCATCAAATTTTATTAACTTGGCTGGTGCCGTAACAGGAAGAAAATTTCTTTTATGCGACTCTTTAAAATCATAAACAAGAAGTGGTATAAATTGATTGGGTGTAAAAGCAATACCTGATGGTAGCTTACCTACGCAACAGAACATTATATTTATTACTTTATTTTTTGTTGGTTTAAACACGTTAACCTTTGGTTTTATTAACCGATTGAATACAAAGTAAAAACGATCAAGTCCATATTCAGATAACGAGAAAAAATGTGTGAATTGACAACAGACGAAAGACCTAAAATGCACATAAAAGATGACCATTGATTTTCAAAGCAATTATTAATTGCTTGTGACCAAACACATTCTTCATTATTAATTGTATCTTGATCAAAAACAGATTGACAAAGTCATTTTTAAAATGTTATTATAAGAAAAAAAATTATATTGACCACTGCTAACTATATCATTAAATACTGTATATTTTGAATAAAAATCAGCATTAACATACAATTCTATTGAGGTTAGAACCAGTAACGTAGCGAGGATTTTTTGGTGTTCGAGATTTCCATACATGGAGCAGACTTCAAACATTCGTATATTTATATATTATATAAACATACGAATGTTTGAAGTTTAAAACATACGAATATAATTATACTTATGTCAAATAAGAATGGTTTGCGATGATTGGAGCCTGGGAACAAAAAAGCCCAGAACTTTCGCGCCCCCTGCCCTAAAAGTGAGAGCAACAAGTTGATAAAATATTTTTTTTACTATTTATAACTAGACTTATATTCATCGATAAATATGAGGGGGTCACAAAATTTATATAGTCATAATTTTTGAACGCTAAGAGGTTATGCTATAAAGCTTAAAATTTATCGATAAATATAAGTCTAGTTAAGAATAGTAAAAAAAAATATTTTATCAACTTGTTGCTCCATGTTTAGGGCAGAGGGCATGAAAGTTTCAGGCTTTTGTGTTCCCATGCTCCAGTCATCGCAATTTTTTTGCAAAACCTTTGTAGCCTAAGACAAACTTACAACACTTGGAAATCCTTGTAAATAAATCCATAGCTAAAACCACTAATTAGCTTTTGCATTTGATATATAGTTCGCACTGAAACATTATTTTACAAGTTAATCTGTAAGATTAACTTGTAATTTGCTAGCAAAATGTGATTAATTTGATATTAATGCTAATCTGATGAAAACCTCTGATTAAATAATTTAATGTAAATAAAGCAGTATAAACAAATTATAACTTACAGAATAGGTACTAGTTTATCCAATTTTGCATTTTTGTTTAAGTACGCTTCAGCGCAAATATTTCGCTTAGGATGAACTTGATTAATCAATGAATGCAAGTTTTCTTCAGTCAAAAAACATAAATAATCAACTTGGAGGGAACACTTCTTGTTAATCTCCTTGAATGTAACTTTATCTCTTCTCTCTAATGCAATTTGTAAAAAAACAACCTAAAAACTTTAACATAATTGGCCTAATTGTCTTATTTTCCAGATTTTTTATGCGTAAACTATATCAAATTCGGCCAAATTTCAACCAAATTGTTTAATTTTTTTTAATTTCCAGACTTTTTATGCCTAAACTAAACTCAATCGACCAAGTCTCAGGCAAATATCTCTAATTTTCTGATTTCCTGATCAGATCGCCTCAGATCAGGCGGCCTTAGGCATAAAAACCGACCGGCCAAATTTTAACTCAATTGGGCCAAATTTTCTTATTTTCCAGATTGCCTTAGATTAGGCAAAACTTGTTTCGCCTTATGCATAAAAAAGCCATTTCGCCTATCATTATTTAATACTTTTGCTCATTTTCGCGGTTTCAAATCCAAAACCGTGAAAAAAATCCTTTTTCTGCTGTTTAGCCAAAGACAGATTGGTGCTAGTGGCAAGAACAAAAATACTGTTTTTATTTATTTCAGACTCCTAAAAAATGATAACTTTTTATTTTATAAAATATTTTTATGTTATTACAAGTGTTAAACAAAAATTTTGCAACTTTTAAAAGTTAAGAATATTCCATATATGTAATAGAAGTTTTTTAAAACACAAGAAGCTTTAAAAAAAAAAAAAAAAAAAAAACCTTCATTATTTCCTACAAATGTTTCCAATTATTTATTTATTTATAAGAAACCAGAATCTATAAAATTTTAAGAAATTGGTGGACGTTTTGGTGTATTTTAGTTTCCAAGCTACAATTACCGCTTGACATAACCAGGGCTTTTCTTAGGTGGGGGGTGGACAAGGACGGATGCATAGAAAACGGGGAAGGCAATGGGGGCAATTGCCATCCCTCTTTAGATATTTCGGCAAGTCCACCAATTATACAACTTTTAAACCTGAAAAATGCCACCTTACTTTACAAGGTAGTCTGAATCCTCCGAATCAAAAAATGGCCCCTTCACTCCTTCCTAGATGGTCTGAATACACCGAATAAAAAAAAAAAACTAAAAATTGCCCTCCTTACTATATATATATATATATTTTTTTTTTTTTTTTTTTTTTTGAAGTTGATTTAGGTACCCCAAGAAGTCCTTACGGTCTTATCACAGAGCACCGCGGAAAAACATTTAATAAGAAGTTCACGCCTCCTTCCCAACCGATGTCGCAAAACTTGCCCAGAGGTGGGGTTTGAACCAAGGACTTACGTTTCTGAGGCAAGTGCGCTACCACTGCGCCACGCCTGCTTTAATATGGTCTGGATCACTCTTTGGCGTAGGGGTGCAGTACCCTCCTTACAAAAACCTTATTGTCCCTGTGAGACCTTTTCGGGACGGCCATGGACATAACCAAGAATTTACATAAGTTTGGAGTTTGTACACAGCTTGAAATTGTCATATCTGAAACATCAAAAATCCTATTTACGCCACTGTGATTGACAGATGTGTTTATTTACATTTTTTAATGTGCTTATTTATTAGAATTTCATAAAGTTCTAGTTTATTTACATTTTACAACAATATGCACAACTGTTGTACGATTGACAAACCGAGTACAAATTAATATCGAGTTTTTCTTGAAACCGTCGTATCATTGAAAATGTCCTAATTAAATTCGAAGTCTTTAAAGTTATATTTCCAGTGTATGTAATAACCAGTGAATTAAAATAAATATTAATTATACGAATTTTAATTTTACAATTTCAAAAAAAAAAAAAAAAAACCTTTACTGTTTAAATAAAAAATAACTTTTTTTTTTACATCCTTCAAAAATTTTTGTTGTTGTTGTTGTTTAAGGTAATCAATAATATCTATGGAAACAAACAATAATCACAGCTATATAGATAAAAATAGAGGACAGATTGAAATCAGAAACCGGAAATTCCGAATAAATTAAGTTATAGACATAATGGATCCGAATACTTCTATCGCAATTGTTCAAATACAAAAACTAACACAGTCTTGCAAACAACTTTTTTTCTGAATAATAATTATTAACGTTTTTTGTAGCTTCGAGGGCAACTTTGGCGTGAACTACGCTCTTTTTTATGCATTTAACTTTGACGTAATACTTTGTTTTATAAGAAATTTGTCTACATTATTAAAATAGTTTTAAAATAGCAAACTCTTTTTCTCACGTCATATATTCCGACATTTACAATATATGATCTCACCTACCAATTATGTAAAGGTTTACATCGATGGTACGTTATCTAGATTAGACAATCTATGACATCGCTAAAGAATGCTGAATTGGGTGTATGGGGTGTAGATTCTTGCTCGGCATTACATCCTGGGCGTTTTTCCTTTAAGTTTAACTACAATAGGCGCACACTTAACTCAATATAGCATTTTAAGCCGGTGCATTTTTAAACTGTTTGAGTCAATTACTGTAACTAGTATGGATTTTACAAAAAAAATTTCTCTATAAAAGCCAGAATCCTAGTTATAATTACCCTAAAATTATGTTTTTTTTTATTCTATAAATTTTTGACTGTTTGATGGTTAAGTTTTTACATATTAGCAAACTTAAATATTACTATTTTAAACATATTCCAACTCTTTACATATATAATATTTATAGAGAGTATTAGTAATATTTTATGTATTTTATAATATATTTGTAACAATAGTTAGATAATAATGTGTATAAGTGCACCATTTAATTTTTCAAATTAATATCTTAAGTATATTATATAAATTATAGAATGTAAAATATTAAAATCTAGAATAGAAAAAGAATATAATAGAATCTAAGTACTAATTTTATGTAATATCTCTCTCTCTCTGTCTCTCTTTCTCTCTCTCTCTCTCTCTCTCTCTCTCTCTCTCTCTCTCTCTATATATATATATATATATATATATATATATATATATATATATATATATATATATATATATATATATATATATATATATATATATATATATATATATATATATATTATATATATATATATATATATATATTTATATATATTTATATATATATATATATATATATATATATATATATATATATATATATATATATGTATGTATATATATTTATGTATATATATATATATATATATATATATATATATATATATATATATATATATATATATATATATATATATATATATATATATATATATATATATATAAAAGATCATGTTATTTACATTTGTTTTTAAATTAATGTTTCAGCAAAAAAAAATGTCATCCTATGTAGGGTTTGCTAATCTCCCTAATCAAGTTCATCGAAAAACTGTTAAAAGAGGTTTTGAGTTCACTTTAATGGTGGTAGGTAAGTAAAAAAATATTATGTTAGTATATTAAAAAAACAAGATTTTACTATCTGTAAAAGCTTTAAGCTGTTGCTTGAAACTGTAATAAACTCTTGACAACTGTTACCATATTATTTATTTTTTATAGTATCTCTATGTATCAGGGGAAAAAAAGGTTCACAAAATTTTTTGATAATTAAATGAATAAGGTCATGGAGAAAATAAAATGATTAGGTTTTAGTAATAGTTTTTAGGCCTTGTTGTTAGATTTTATTGCATAATAAAAACGCATAATATTAATAAATGTAACTTTAACGCAGCTTTGATATTTAATTTTTGATATTTAATTTTGACTTTTTAATTGTTAAAAATAAATTGTGTTGAAATATTTTAAACTATTGTGATGAAATTAAATTAAATTTTAAACTGGGTTAAAAATCATTTTAACTAATATAAAAAAAATTACTGTTAAAATTGTTATTTGAAAAAGATATATTATCTTATTCTTACGTAATCTATTTTTTTATCACAACTTATTTATTTGTTTTTCTTTAAGTTTTTAATGTGATATTTTTAATAAAGATTATAAACAGTTTATAGATATATTTTTTATAAGTTATCAATAAGATATTTATAAACCTAATTTATGTTCATAAAGAAAAATTTAATCATTTTTGTAAAAAAACTCCTTAATCAAATGTACTTTACCTTTTTTTAAAATTCATTATGTAAAACATAAGTCTTTTTATTTATGATGTAGAGACATGTTTTACGTAATGAATTAGTTAGCAGATGATAAGAAAAAAAATTCTTCAATAATTATTGCAAAACTATTTTACATTCTTTGAAACTAAATTTAAAATAATTCTTTGAAACTAATTTAAAGTAGTTAGTAAAACTACGTTTTACTAACTATTTACATTCCTTCAAAACTTAATTTACTTTTTTGAAATCATGTTTAATTCAAGTTCTTTTAATTAAAAAAAAATTTACATGAAATAATCAGTTACTTTAACAAAAAAATTTACAGTTGCAGTTGAATGCTTTTTTTTTATGACTTAATATTTTATGAATAAACGTCATATAAATGATATTAAAATATAAATGATATAAAATAATTTAAATATTCCAAAATAAATAAGTTTTTGCTTAATATAAAACTGTTAAAAAAAACCTGCTAAAATGTGAGCTCTGTAACCCTTCGTAACAAGGCCTGAGTTTTATTTGTTGCACTAAATTGTTTTGTATCATATCATAAATATAATCGAGAAAACAATCGTCAGCGTCAATTATTTTTTTAATATTTATTTATTCAAGATACTTTTAAAATTGTTTTTATGTTTAAGTTCAAATTTAAACATGTATTTATTATTTTCACTTTATATTGTATTTTATGTACTAAGTAAAAAACTTAACTATAAAAATATTGCGTATTAAAGGTTCTTTTATTTTTACAGTAAATAGTCTGTAAAGATTAAATTTTATATTTTATTTTTAAAAAGTTTTCAATAGAAAATAAAAAAATTGAAATTTTTAAAAACTATTGTTGCTATATAGTTTTATAATTTTTTTAATAATTTTTTTAAAATGGTTTTTGGTAAAATTCTTACACAGGTCATTTGAAGTTATTTTTTATCAAACTTATTAAATAAAAACATATTAATGAATTAATATTACCGTAAATTGTTTGCATTAAAAAAAATTTCAGTTGCGGTTAAATGCTTTTATGATTTAATATTTTTTTAAAAAACATCATAATGGACAATATTAAATTTTCCAAAACAATGAAAAAATTCTTCAAATTCAACTCTAAAATCTTATAGTCATTCTCCATTCAAATTAAACAGGTTTAATTTAAACTTGTTTAGTTTGAGTTAAACTGATTGTTAGACATTTAAATTACTCTGGCATCCATTGCATATGTCATATCTTAATTAAATTCTTCTATGGCTTGTGGTCTATACAACATTCCTATCATAATATTACAAAATTTTTCCCCAGAACTCTCTTCAATTCTCTCAAAACTATTTAAAAAGTCTAGTTTTGTCAAGAGATGCCTTGTCTGCTAGACATGGCATCTGTTGTTTCAATTTTTAAAAACTCCTGAGAACATTCTGCTCCCTCCAATTATCATCCCTCAGTCTTCTTTCTGCTATTAGGTCTTTGAGTCTTTGATCAACAAATTGTTCACATCCCATCTTAAATTAAATAATTTACTGTCAATAATGTCAATAATTTACCAATACGGTTTTTGATCTTCTTGTTCTACAGTTGATTTACTAACTGCTATGACTGAAAAATTTTATTTTGCATTGGAGGCAGCTAGGCTAGGGCTTTTGCTCTTGACATATCTAAAGCTTTTAACAAAGATTGATATGCTGGTCTTCTCCATAAGTATGCTTCATATGAAAATTAGGATTTTTGAGATTATCAAATTTTTTCTTTCTAACTGCTTTATTAAAGTCATGCTCGAAGCCCAACACTCTTCTTTATTTCCAGTAACTTCTAGGATACCTCAAAGTTCTTTAATTGGTCCTGTTTTGTTTCTTATCTACGTTAATGATCTTCCCGACAACCTTACATCTTTTGGCTGATGGGTCGTTCCGTGCCAAATGGTCTAAAATTTTAGGATTCCAACATGGACCCCTCAGATTTTGATGAAACTTAGTGGGTTGGTTTATATCAATGAGAAAAGCAATTCCTGAAAATTTCAGCTTCAAATATGATGTGGTTCATGAGATATGGCCATTTGAAATTTCTGATTTTTCCAAAAATAAAAACTTCAGGAGCAAAAACATGTTTTGTTCATACTTTGAAGCTCTGTATTTTAAAAACTAAATTTCAGAACACCTTCTAGTTTTTTTTATCATATACAATGCTAGGCTTACTTTGTTAAAACTTTGACATTAAATTTTTAAATGTCACATTTTATCCATAATGGCTGCCTAAAAAATCCGGTAACTCTTCCAGTGGACGATTTTATTGAAAAAGCTTGTCAACAAATAGACCAATTAAGAGACCATCACTATATAGCCAAAAATCAAGCAGCATATTTGCAGCATCTAAAAATCACATTGGCAAGTAATCATATTTTAATATTATTAGACTTTGCTGAGAATTACAGTTTTTTAATTCAAGATGCAGTACAAGGTTTCCATTGGAACAATAGCCAAGCAACATTGCATTCTTTTGTTATTTACTTTATGGAAGAAAACAAGATAAAATGTAAAAGTATTTGCATTATCTCAGATAATTTGCAATACAATACAAACTCAGTACATTGTTTCATTCATGAAGTATTAAAACATTTAAAAAACTTGATACCCTACTTTAACCACTGCATTTATTTCAGTGATGGTGCAAGTTCACAATACAAAAATTATAAAAACCTATCTAACTTATGTCACCATAAACAAGATCATGACGTATCTGCAGAATGGCATTTTTTTGGCTACATCACATGGAAAGAGTGCGTGTGATGGTGTTGGGGAAACTGTCAAAAGACTTGTAGCAAGGGCAAGTTTACAATTACTAGTTGATCCTATCAATTCATCTAAAAAAATGTATGGTTGGTGGAGACAAAATATTGATGGAATACATTTTCAACACATTTCAAATGATGCACTTACATTACATTGCATGAAATTTAAATTAGAAGAACGTTATGCTACTTGTTCAACAATTCCAGGTACAAGAAACCACCATTGTTTTATAACACAATCATTAACTACTTTACAAATGAGACGGATTTCATTCGACAATATGTTTACTAATGTAAATATTTCAACAATGCAACAGAACTATACAATTCTACTTGCATCTCTTTCACCAGGAATTTATATAGCATGTGTTTATGATGGAAAATGGTTTTTAGGTAATATTGTGGAAATATCTGAAGAAAATCTAGATATCCTTATAAAGTTCATGAAGCAGTCTATTTCCTCTAACACTTTTACTTGGCCACATAGAGAAGATATTTGCTGGGTTCCAATAATGCACGTTCTATGCAAAATTTCATCTTTAAAAGTGCAATCAGCAACTGGTAGATGCTATGAACTATCAGCTCAAGAAAAAACTGAAATAATACATTTGTACAATAGAATTTTTAATAACGAAATTATATAATAACAAAGCAAAATTTTTATAAGCTTGATCAATCGAAAAAATGTATTAAAGCATACTTGAATGATTCCATCTTATGTTGATTTTTTATTAAATAATATTTTTTAATGCATAATACGTATTATATAATTACATAATAAACTTGTGTATTGCAATGACAAATCAAATTACTCTTATCACTTGATATAATCTGTAATCTAAATTTAAACATGACAATAATAAAATGGGGAAAATGATACTAAATTTAAGTCAGAATATAAAACTGTAAGATAATAACTGATATAGAAACAAAAATGTGTTGTGTCTAATAAGCATTTACAAATAAATAACACAGCTATTATTTGAGTATGTTCAATACTTGGTGCATAAAGATACTTCATGCATCAGATATAATAACAGAAACACTGCATAAGCTAAAATGTTTAATAAACAGTAGTTTAAAATGTTATCGAGAAATAAGTTCTTCTTAAGATGAGAATGTTCTGGGCAAAAATACGCATTAAAAAAAATAAAAACAGGGTGGGGGGGGGGCAATTAAGGTTATTTAAAACCTGAGTTTAACTCAGTCCTAATTTAAAGCTAATTTGTAGCAATGATTTTGATATACTTTCATATATATATATACATTTTTTTGCATTGCAGTAAATAATGAATACTAAAGTACATCAATATCTCTATTTTTTGCGTTTTTAATGCATTTTGTGCCGACTTCATTGTTCTGACTTTGTAACTTCCCCATGAGTACCCACTATTTTTTTTTCTGAAATCACTTTAACAAAGTCTACTAAATGAGTAGAAAAAAGGTATATCATAAAAATCAGTGTTGATCATAGGTTACCAGTGGGTTTAAGGGAAGGCACAATTTTGTAAGTTCTAGCTGGAGCCATTTTTAGGGGTCCATAATTTCTTACTGAATTGTATCATATCAGCAAATTTCTGAAAATTATGAAGCCTACCATATATAGAAACTAAAAAGATATGTATTTTTACTTCTTAAATTGCTAGTTTTGTATATTGACCCATCAAAAATCAACTTTCTATATCTGCAAACAATTTTTTCGGTTTTTTAGGCAGCCATTATGGATAAAATGTGACATTTAAAAATTTAATGTCAAAGTTTTAACAAAGTAAGCCTAGCATTGTATATGATAAAAAAAACTAGAAGGTGTTCTGAAATTTAGTTTTTAAAATGCAGAGCTTCAAAGTATGAACAAAACATGTTTTTGCACCTGAAGTTTTTATTTTTGGAAAAATCAAAAATTTCAAATGGCCATATCTCATGAACCACATCAGGTTTGAAGCTGAAATTTTCAGGAATTGCTTTTCTCATTGATATAAACCAACCTACTAAGTTTCATCAAAATCTGAGGGGGTCCATGTTTGACCCTGGTTCACTTGGCATGGAATGACCCCTGATGACAAAGTCTTCAAAACCTACAATACTGCCGACATTCCTATATTAATAAATGCAACTCACTCACTGAGTCCTCTATCATTTACTAATGACCTTTCATGGAAACCATATATACAATTAATTGGTGAATTAGCATCCTCTAAGGTTGCTTCTTTTTATCACCATTTTCTTACTCTTGATTCCATTCTTTATCTCTACAAATCTCTTATTTGTTCTTGTATAGAATACTGTTGTCATGTTTGGGCTGGATCTTCTAATGACGCTCTTTCTCTTTTAGGCAAGTTCCAAAAAATGTATTGTAAACATAGTTAGACCTGCTTTATCTGTTTAGCTTCAGCCTCTTTCCCATCGCTGTAAAGTTGTATCTCTTTCTCTTTTTCTCTGCTGAAAGGAGCTTTTATCTCTAGTTCAATCAACTAAAACTCATTCTCGCTTGACTTGTCATGCAGCAAAGTCTTATTTGTTTACTCTATCTGTCTCTGCATCCTCTAAAAACTTTTATTCACTTAGTTTTTTTCCTCCTCACTTTAACCCTTTCCCATTTTCAGGTTTTCCTGATTCATTCAACCTACAACTTTTCAAGTTTTCTGTAAACCGTTTCCTTACTCTATAACTCTATTCTTCTTTCTAGTAACTCCTAACTTAATAGTTGTTGTTTGCAGCATTGTTGGAAGTAAATCAAAATGAAAATTTTGTTATTGTTATTGTGTATTATGTAAAGACTTTTTTTACATTTTTTTAATTATTATTGTGTATTATGTAAATACTTTGTAAAGCATTTTTTTATTTTAAATGTTCTAAGTAATTTTTGTTATTCAAAAAAATGTTTAGTATTTAAATATTTACTCAACTTAAAAAACATTAATAAATAAATTTTAATACTTTTTTAATAGTAATAAAGTAGTCTATGGTCACACTTGAGGTAGAAAGAAGACATAAAACTGTTATTTGCTATCAAATCCTAACGTATTGCAACTATTGCCTATGTAATAAACATTTTAAACATGCTACTTCAACTTCAGTCTTTTCTGTCAAAAAAAAATGACTTTTCTACTAAATATAATGTTGTTGTTGCAAACATATAATGGGAAATTGTTGTAAACAAACTATAAATTGCAATTCAGACATGTTTGGGTATAAGGAATTTCCGGTTCATGTGGCTGTAGCAGATTAAACAATCATACTACTGGTTTCAGCTATTAAGTAATTATAATTAAATTTTTTCATACTAAAGGCTGGTTGATCCATAAAAACCAGTCAGGAATGTTGATTACATAATCACTACATAAGCCACAGGCTACCTGCCTAATACATAGCTGTTCTACAGAATACTACTACATTTCCTGCTATATAGGTACTACTTAGCTACCACATAGCCCGTGGCCCGCAACATAGCTACTGCATAGGCATGTAGCCCTTAATATGAAATATAATATTCAATAGTTTAAACAAAATTTTATTAAAATGTATCAAGCTTTAGTGATAAACTTTAGTGGTATAAAATTTGTAAAATAAAAAAAACAATTTAAACAATTAAAATAATAATTTCAAATTAAATATATTACCTGATTTTTGCAATATCAAATCAAAAATTTAAAACAATTTAGTTAACTAATACTATAACTAAGCGCATTAAATTAGACTTTTCATCTATAACTAATTACACGTTAGCAGATTCTATTTTAGCCAATTAAATTCTTTATAACCATTTTAACTAAGCGTATTAAACTGTAACTAAGTGCATTAAACATTAAATTAGAGTATTAATGATGCACCGTCACTAACATTTTCAATAAATACAACATAACTAATAATTGCAATAAAATTACATAAAAAAATTATATTTAAATTTATTTTAAACTTTTGGAAATTTTTGGATATATATATAATATAGTTCAAAAATTAGTGTATATGGCCAACTGAATCTGAACTAATTCCAAACTAACCGATAATAGGTTTAGTTTAAAAATTAGTACATGTGGCCAACTGAAACCAAACTTAGATTTGATTTTAATATATATATATATATATATATATATATATATATATATATATATATATATATATATATATATATATATATATATATATATATATATATATATATACAGCCCTTGGCAGGAGTAAATGAGCACAAGAGCAGAGAAAAGCTCTCCTAAAACCAAGATAGCAAGCCATGCCAGCTGCTTCTCTAAACTGCTTTTTATGAGAGCTTTTGGTTTTTGAACAAGTTATCTGTTTATTTATTTAAAAATTGCTTATTAAATACAAAATTTGGTTACAAGGATATGTTTGTAATGTTATTGTTACAACAATATGTACATAACAAGCATCATTATTTGTGCTGTGAAAAAAATTCTTTAGGCGTAAAATTTTTTTGACTCAGCAAAAACTGTGCCTGTTTATTATCTAACGAGTTAAATTTTTTTCATTTTAATTAAATGACAATTTAACTTTTGAGAGAAAAAAAAAACTTTTTACAGCTGTGGGAAAGTGGTTAGAGTTTTGCCTCAAAACCAAGCGCTTTGAGGTTTAATACTGGCTCAGGCTATATAGACAACGTAAGTAAGGAAGGAGGCGTGAGCTCCCTAGTTAAATGCTCCTCACAGGCGGTCTATGATAAGACCTTCTAAGACTCTTCTTGGAGTACCCTAATAACAACAAAATAACAAAAAGAAAGCTTTGTAAAATTTTGAAGTGTTTTATTATTATCAATAATTTCTTGGTATGAATTCAATAATTGAGGTATTATTTCTTTTGCAATTAATGAGGTTTAGCTATAGCAATAGCTAACATTATAAAAAATGATATAATTAATAGAGGTGTACCGGATATTTTTGCCGGATATGCCGGATAGTGAACTTTTCTAAGGTTCTATAAGTCTTTATGAAAAAATTTTTTTTTTTGCCAGTCTACAATAAATAGTATTCAAGATCTTACTTAAAAAAAATAGTAAAAAGCTGTATGACATGGTATATTTGCTGACAAAGTGTAGAAAATAAAAACTAAAAAAAAAAAAAAAAAAAAAAATTGGCTATAAAAAATGATTTTTCTTTATGCATTATTAACGCATATACCTGTGTTATAAAAGTTTTTTTATTGAATTTGTTTTTTTAAATCTTGAACACTGTTTAATGTAGAATGGCAAAACTTTTTTTTACTTTATAAACACTTATAAAACTTGAAAAAAGTTCAATATCCGGCATATCCGGAAAAAATATCTTGTACATCTCTAATAATTAACAAATTTTTCTGTAAACTTGTTAATTTTTTACATCTTTTTTATAAATAACTACATTAACTATTTATTCTTTAGGAGAGTCTGGTTTAGGCAAGTCAACCTTAGTTAACAGCTTGTTTTTGACAGATTTATATGCAGATAAAATAAGGAAAACAGCTAATGGTATGTTTTGCATGTTTTTTTGTCTTTAAATTTCTATATTATTTTATAATAAAATATATCAGAATAATCCTTGAATCTTTGAATCGTAGCCTTTATGGCTTAGATGAACCTGATGTTGCTTTTGTTACAAAAACTAAGAATAATTTTCCTGATATGTACATGAAGCAATTTATATCTCTTAATTAACTGCTGCAAAATTAAGACTGTTACAACAATGACTTATAATTATTTTTTGTTAAAATTTAATTATAAAATTTATTAGGGCATTTGAAAATTTATAATTAGAAACTTTAACAACATATTAGAATTGTATAACTTTACCACACAGCTGAAGTCAGGTGTTTGTTTTAAAAACAATTTGTTTAACTTCTTTTAAATTTAAAAATAAAACATTTTCTTTTTGTTCCAACTTTTTTTTATTTTGTTACAACCTTTTTTCATTTTTTTCAATTTTTTATATTGCGTTATATTTTTTATTAAGTTTCAAGACATTTATTGTTTACATATCAATGTACATTACAATACTTCTTCAACATATTTTGAATAAATGCTTTTTGACAATGCCATCAAGATATCAATAGTTTTTATGTTATATATATATCAACATTAATATATTTTGTTGTTATTTGCTTTAATGAGTATTTTCCTTTAGAAGTTGATAAAAAGCTTTGAGAATTTTGATTAATTCTATAAAGTAGTTTATATTATGGTAGTTTTTAGATATTGAACACAATTAATTTTTTTTTGTAAATTCTTAAAAAACTTAAAGTTCTTAAAATTCTTGTAATAAAACTTACAAATTAGTATTACTCTAAGACTTTATTTTATTGATTTTGAAGTAAGTAAGGTGGCCTTTAAAACAAGATTTTTGAAAAAATCTGATCCTTCTTTCTAATTGTGTTCTATATAATAGAAAACGCTAGATTTAATAATATTTTGAAAAAAGTATTTTGAGGGGTTGCTCAAGACCCTTATATGGGTCATGTTAAGTCTGTTCTACACCAATAATTTCTATATTTATTCTTTATATGGTCTCTTCATTTCAAAATTTTCTAGGAGACGTGTCCAGTGTTTTGTCTTGCATGGCCATGCATAAGTTTTTTGTTTCAGACAACTTGGTCATGACTGTTTGCAAGTTTTATTATATTAGGCGTTTTAGTACTTTGCAAAAAAAACTAAGTTTTAAAAACAAAGAAAGCAAAATAGAAAATTAAAATAAATTTAAATAGAAAAAGACAAAAAAAATTAATAATTTAAATAATTTGTGTACTGTTTTTATTTTTGTTTCTTTAGGGTGGTTGTTATTTTCACAAACAAAGTTGGTCAAGGCAGAAAACAAAACAAAAAATAGTTTTAAGTCAACATTAAAAAGAATGATTTTCCTATATTTTTTGAAAAGGAAAGCAAAATATCAATTGCTATCTGTTTGTAAAATACATTTGTATAATTTTGATGACACAAGTATATATTGTCCCTATATGAGGGGGTCCCTATATGAATACGTCTATGTAATAGATCTTTATTTATCTATGAACAATGTCATGAAGCACGCAAATAAGAGAAAGAAAAATATTTAAAAATTTTACAGAATTGCAACTCAGTAACTAACAGCATTTAGCATTGACTGGACTAATTATATATAGATTAATAAAATTGTTTGTTAAAGTGAATAACTTTTGTAAAATTTAGAACGTGTGAAAAGTACCCTTGAAATTAAAACATCCTCTGTAGAAATAGAAGAACGTGGTGTGAAGCTTAAATTAACAGTAGTTGACACTCCAGGTTTTGCTGACAGTATCGATTGCACAGAAAGGTAAACAATTTTACTGCTATGCTAAAATCATAAGTTAACAACTTTATGGATTTGATGATGGCGCCTTGGCATATTTTATATCTAATTTTTCCCAGATAAGCAAGTAAACTCATAATTTATTTTCTTTTTTTCTTTTTTTTAGTTTTATACCAATAAAAGATTATATTGAGCAGCAGTTTGAGAATTATTTGAATGATGAATCTGGTTTGAATCGAAGAAATATTACTGATAATCGTGTTCACTGTTGCTTTTATTTTATCAATCCATCAGGACATGGGTAATTGTTTCCACATAATTTTCTTGTATATATATTTATGTATACCATATTAAAATTTATTTCTAAATACACAACTAGGGAGTGTTCTTGGGAATAATTAGGATTCTAACGCTCACTAAAAAGTTTGTGAATTAATTTGATAAAAACTCATTCTCCTGAGATTTATAACACTAGTTACAAATCTAAAAATATTGAAAAATCAGAAACTTTTTTTTTTTTTTTTTAATTTAATTCACCTCCTCAAGGCCGAGAAGGCCACTACAGACGAGGAGGCTACTACAGACGAGGAGGCTACTTATTTGTGGTTATAACTCTCAACATTATAACTCCGAAACACGAACCTTGATGAACAAGGCCGCTGCGCGGAGAAACGAGTTGAGCGCGGTAATACCAGGGACGTGGTGGGGATCGAACTTGGAACCACTCGTTTATGAAGCGAGCGTTCTACCACTACACCACTACCGCATATATACATACATACTTTTATATTAGTTTTAAAATTTTTTACTCAAATTTTTTGAATATTTTTTTTAACAAAAACTATTATTTTCCAAAATTATGATTTTAATTAAAATAGAAAAATGTTGAAATATACCTTAAGAACTTATCTAAAATATTTATAATAATTTAAAAATAAATACAGTTGACTCTTGGTATCTCGAACTGTCAGGTTCAACAGACTGTGAAATAAGTTTGAGATATTGAGAGTTCGGGAAATCGAGAGGATTTGGCTTGAATGAGTGCGCAAAGGACCAGAAAATAGGTTCAAGATATCAATTAGTTGAGATTAGGGATTGTAAAAAACCTGGAAATTTTCAATCCAGAGATTTTGGGATTGAGAAATTTGTTCCCAGAAAATCCTGGGGTTGAATAGAAAAAAACGCAGTTGAATACTTTTTAAGTACTTTTTTTTTTTTTTTTTTTTTTAATTCACCTCCTCAAGGCCGAGAAGGCCACTACAGACGAGGAGGCTACTTATTTGTGGTTATAACCCTCTCTCAACTCTATAACTCCGAAACACGAACCTTGACGAGCAAGGGCGCTGCGCGGAGAAACGAGTTGAGCGCGGTACTACCAGGGACGTGGTGGGGATCACTTATCTGGGACTTTTAAAAATTAATGAACCTAAGTACTTTAAATTATAAAACAATACTTAAAATGGTAACACAGTATAAATAAAAATAATAATTGAAAAATAATATAAATATGCATGACTTAATTAATTAAACAGAAGCTGAGAAAATTTTGTAATTTAATAAACCTTCTGTTTTTTGATAACTTTATTAATTAAGGGATCGTCTATAAAGTATGTAAGCTCGGGGGGGGGGGGGGGGAAGAGGGGTCTGCAAATGGCATATATAAGATTAAAGGGCAGTGGGTCAATTATAAAAGAAAGAAGACACTAAATTAAAAAAGTATCATAAAATGTTAGATAAATAAGTTAAAAGTGTAGGTACTTTTAGGGAGGTGGAGGGTATTCAAAAAAGCGTATTGCTAAATGCGGGGAGGGGGTGACAAAAAAAAAGCATACATACTTTATGGATGACTCCTAAATTAACTTTCTTAAATCACACACGTATTTGAAATTAAAATTAATGGAAATAAAAATAGAATTTGAATTGCTCACATGTTTTAAATTAAAATGTAGTTTAAATCACACACATTTTTGGAAGTAGAAAATTCAAAATTAAAGGTATACCTTCTTTTAAAAACTTCTATTAAAAATACTTTCTCTTTCTACCAGCTTAAATTTTATTTTTTATAATATACTAGTTTTAATACTATATATATATATATATATATATATATATATATATATATATATATATATATATATATATATAATATATATATATATATATATATATATATATATATATAGTATTAAAACTAGTATATTATAAAAAATAAAATTTAAGCTTAATATATACATATATATATATATATATATATATATATATATATATATATATATATATATTATATATATATATATATATATATATATATATATATATGTATATATATATGTATATATATATATGTATATATATATATATATATATATATATATATATATATATATATATATATATATATATATATATGTATATATGTATATATATATATATATATATAATATATTTATGTATATATATATATAATATATATATATATATAATATATATATATATATATATATATATATATATATATATATATATATATATATATATATATATATATATATATATATATATATATATATATATATATATAATATATATATATATATATATATATATATATATATATATATATATATATATATATATATATATATTATGTATATTATAAGGCAATTATATACCTGTCAGCTGTTTACATAAAGCTGGCAATTATTTTAAATATCTAAAAACACCAGATACTCGTTGGTATCCAGTTTGTGACAACATTGCCACATTACATGAGCCTGAGCTCCAAAACACAAGTGGGTTTGACTCCTATCTAATAAAAAAAAAGATTAAATAAATTACACTGTATTAATTGTTTTGAATTAGCAACTAATTATCAATTAAAAAGTAAAAACTAAACCTAATAATTTAAGCGGTTTCTAACAAGTTTTGACTTTTTCCTTTTTTATTTATTATTTATTTTTATTATAAAAGTTATTATATTTTTAAGCCCCCTGATGTATCATGAATATCCCCTCAATATTTTATGAAAGTCTTGTGAAAAATTGTTTAACATTAATTTTGTAAAACATCAAAGGTCTTTGTCTTTGAGATATAACACTCCTTAATTGTATAAATTATGTTTGAAGTATCACTGTTTACCAATAATACCAAGTTTTAGTTATTGCCTCTTTATTTGTGCCCCTACCCAGGTTAAAAACCAGATCAGCATAGGGGCATTTAACCATATCTTTCATTTTTTTAAGAAACAACTTATAAACAGTTGCACCCATATGCTATTAAGCAGGTTGGGGGGGGGGGGCGCTGGTTTCTAATAATGCACTCCACTCTGGATAATTGAAAAATAGGGTTATTTTAAAATGCTGCTATTTTTGTTGAAAATGCAACAAGTAAAAAATGGTTCAATTTTCGGATAGTTGGATCTTATGGTCTTAATTGCTGTTAAGCTTAGATCAATACAAAGTGTTAGAAAAAATTATGAGCATTTCAAAATGTATGAAAATAGTACTTTTTTGGCAAATGGACAATACATTTCAGTTCTAAACTGCAACAAGCGGCTAGTTTTTTGCCTATTTGTTGCATATAATAGTAGCTAATCAGAAAACTAAACTAAGGACTTGTTGATGAATAGAAAACTACTACAGTTAACATCATTTTGGCCTTTTTTTAGCATTTTTCAATTTTTTTTCAAAGTTGAAGATAATTTTTTTCTATTATGATACAAGTTAATTAAAACCAGTACTTTTAACACAGAACTACCCAGAAAACACTTCTAGAAAAAATGAGCCTCTTGTTGAAAGATAGAAAAAAGTTATGAGGCTTTGAAGTAGTCTGTTTTTACAAATCTTAAATCGAGGGGGGCCACTGTGCAGTGTTTATAAAGCTATATTTTCTTAACCGTTCCACTTGGAAGTCTGAAATTTCAAATTTAACCTATCTACATAATGTAGAAAATGATATTTAAAAATCAGCAAAATCTGAGATAGTGCCCCACAAATTTTTCTCAAAATAGGTTGAAATATAATGATTTGACCCATTCATGTATGTATATATATATATATATATATATATATATATATATATATATATATATATATATATATATATATATACACATATTTTGCAATAATGTTTTGAGTTTTAATTTTTAATAAAATACAGAAAGACAGATTTTTAAAAAGAAAACATTGCAAAGAGAATAAATAGTTAAACGACCAAACAGCTACTATACCGAAGACGATGTACAAATTACTTAATTACAATTATAAGGTTAAACCTTATTAAATTTTACTTTTTTTTGGCGATCCTGAAATCCCGGGAAAATTCTGATACTAATTCCGGGATTTCGGGATGAACAATTAGTATGAAATCCCAGGATTTCGGGATCCCGGGATTGCCATCCCTAGTTGAGATATCGTGAGTCAATCTTTCAATTTTGTAAATGAGGCACAAATCTAAAGCACAATTTGTGTCACAGGCAAATTTTTAAACTTTTTTTTTTTTTTTTTGCTGTTAAAATTGGTCAACTTTACTAGAGCATTCTTTTTAAGATATTTCAATAATCGAGTTTCTTTTTTTAAAAAAATGAAAAAGAAATTAATGAGAGTTTTTTTTATTGCAGGTTGATCAATTAAAAAATGTATGTAAAGCTTGTATTACTAAAAAGTTCAGAGTTCAATTAAAAAATTGAAAATTGTTAAATTTTTTTTAATTAGATTTAGTCTAAACATTTATACAAGTTTATAGTAAATGAAAACATAATTATTTATTTTAACATTTGATGACTTAATCATGGTTTGTTAGATTAATTGTATTTAAATAAATCAATTTTTTTTTTTTTTTTTTTTTTTTTTTTTTTGTAAATAAAAGATTTTTGTCTAAGCAAAATTAAATTAAAAAAAAGAAGGTATTTTTGATACAACACTCATGACAGTAGTTACTGTCCTTTTTAATGTAAATTTTTGCTTATTTGATGATCACATTAATAAAAATTATGAAATGCATACAAAATAACATAAATAACATATATAATATATAAAAAACAATATATATACAGGCCAATATATCGTGGCGTTAAAATAATAAGGTTCTATCTCCATTTTTAAAAGTTGTGAGAATTTAACTTTTGATTTTTAATTATTAAAATATTTTACAGTTATTGTTGTTCATATTAATAAAATAAATGTTTTTTATGTTATTTATGTTTTATAATTAATCTTACATTATTAATTTCATAATTTTTAAAATTGTTTGACCACAAATTAATTGTTAATTTCAACTTTATAAAATAACGTTGAAATCGAC